ACGCGTAATTACAGCCCGGAAAAAAGTCAACAATGAAGGAGCCAACGGAGAGAACAGTGAAGGAGCGGCGAGAAACTTAATTGTGAGTAAGTGTTGCTTAATACTTATTATCTGCACTCGCGCCCATGCCGCATACGCCCCGCCCCCTGCCGCATGCCACTCTGCGCTCCTCTCTCCATGGCAGAGGCGTGTCAGCGGCAAATGCCGAAACTTAATTGTTAGCTTGCCGAAAACTTTTTGACGCGATATTTAACCCTTTACTTTTTGTTGCTAATTAAAAAACTTTTGGCAACCCGCGCACTGGGGAGCGGCAGAGAAAAAATTGTTAAAATGGGAAAATGAAGAGCGAAAAACGACATGGAAAACGCTTCAGCATAGATACATAAATACATACATATGTACATACATACACGTGTACATCTGTGCGTTCTGTCCTGGTTGTTTACACAAAGGCAATCATACACTTCACCCACCCTGGGCCCCCTGTAGCAGCCTCTTCCCTCTCACTCTGGCGCCATATCGTCACTGTCAACAATACGACATAACGGGATGACGGCCAGAGATTGGTTGGAGTGGTGTTCGGGGGGGGGAGGGCTCTTCAAAAGCAAGAAGATCTGACTGCTTGACGTTGTGTTGAAGTTTCATTAATTAGATAAAAGTTTCTCCTGCTTCCTTGCCACCATTCTCTCTCTCTCTCTCTATCTCTGTTTCCCCCTCTCTACATTGTTAATGACGCCAAAGAACGAGCTGCAAATTATTTGCACACAACAAAAGCCAAAAAGTTGCAGGACCCATTGCCCCAGCTCCCTGCAACCCCCCGCCATGTCATTGGAAAGTATTTCAAAGGAAGAAAGTGACTCTGTGGGTGAGTGTGGTTAGCGGATATGATGGCCGGTTGGAGGATATGTACGATATTATATCATATTATCAGTGTTTGCCCATCGGTTGGATAAAGAACAGACCTACGGACACAGGAAGAGAAAACCCTAAACAAAATTGGGTTTCAATTAAGATGCAACCTACGAAGGGTTACGCAGGAAGAAGCCTCGGCAAATAGTCAAAAATAAAAAATAATTATCCACTCTCACCCCTTGGAGCATCCCACTTTCCCCTGCCAACCCCTGGTGGCAGCTAATCAAGGAGCCGAGCGGAAGGTGGTAGATAAAGAAAAACCGGAAACGACGTACCAGGAAGCGCCAATCAAATTAGGAAGAAAAAATAATAAAAAAAGGACCACATCACGAATACTTAGAAAAGGTTGCCAGAAACAGAAACAGAAACAGAAAGATGCCATGGGGGGGTGGCAAAGGGTTGTGGCAAGTGTGGCAAAGAAATCATGGGATACGCGGAAGATGAATTTTTAATTTGTTGCTGCTGCCTCCCGTTTTAATTGTTGTTGACAGACGACTGACTGGCTGGAGATCGGGTATTCAGAGCAAGGACTCAGCTTCAGCTTCAGCTTCAGCTTCAGAACTGACTGACGGCGCAATTTGCAATCCTTTTTCTTTTGCCTGAGCTTAGAGACTACTTTCTGAAAGGGGAGTGATGGAAATTTTAATTAAAGAAATTGCGGTTAATCCCGTTAGAAGACAGCTAACCAAAAAAAAAAATGAAATGCTTCACGAGGTTGCTTCAGATGCGCCCTCGGGGGGTCAGCACTTTCGTGTGGCAACAACACAACCGAAATTGGCTGCCAATTGTGGAAGAGTTCCAAGGGAAGAAGAGTTGAAGAGTTTATGCTACGCATGAATATGATGTAATTGTTCCGGTTCGACATGGCAACGTGCCACATCAAAAGGTGGAACGATATTCACACAAACACCTTGAGCCACCGCAGCCCCCGCAGCCCCCGCAGCCCCCGCAGCCGCCCACCAACCGCCCGGCCACCTGGTAACGTTTTCATTTTAACTTGAATTTTCAGGCTTCTAATGGAATTATCCAAGGGGAATGGGCTCCAAGAATGGGGTGCGGGCTACGCTCATACTTGGATTTGTCAAAGGATTTTGAGTAATTTAATTGTATGCCATTTGCACATCAATTTGCATTCAAAATTTCAAATTCACAACATTGTCGAGAGGACATGCAGAGCGCCAAAGCTTGAGTACAGTGCGTTTTATAATAATAAGTTGAAACTACAAAGAATATAATTTTTTTTAAATATATCTAAAATAATAATGGGAGAAATTCATAACTGAAAACATGAAATATTCTCAGCAGCATTGATTACAAATTACACTTTCGAAACGCACCGTGCAGTATACTAAATGTTATATTTTTTTCATATTCTTTTGACTTTTTGCAGGCCATTTAGTCGGGTTTAACTAACCCAAATATTTGGCAACAAACAACACGCAGCAGAAACCTGTTGATCCTGCCAAAAAAGGATAGAAATTGGTCCACAGAGCACCACAAAAAAGGCAATCGAATAATTGAAATTAATGGCCAATGTTGTGGCCGGGGGCAGCACAAATAATTTCTACTAATTCAGGCATAAAATATGTGGTCCAATGGTCGGAGTTCCGAGTTGGAGGTTGAAGTTTAAGATGAAGTTGAAGTTGAAGCTGACGCTGAGGAATGGCCATCAATCTCCTCCTCTCCCATACATTGTACACTGAGTGGGTGGTGCATATAAGAAATTAACTTATAAAGTCATTTTGCAGGAAAAGGATGAGCTGGAGTTGTAGATGGAGAGAGGCCCCAAGAAGACAGAAAGAGAGACGGTAAAAAAGGATTAATTGCATGAGGAGATGTACACGGAGCTGGCGGCATCAGCTCTTGCCACATGCCACACTCCCCATGACAGCGAGCGAGCGAATAAGCTGTGCACACGGCCACCAAGTGCATATCCTGATATAAGCCATTGACTTGCTACATCCTTTGGCCAGGAACAAGTCACAGCCCGGGCCAAGCCGGGAAGGCAGTCAGCCAGGCTGCCAGGCAGCCAGGCAGCCAGGAAGGCATGTGTGCTCTTGTGCGGCATGTGGTGGATCCGTATTTTTTAATAGTGTTTCGTGTGCCTCTTGGCGTTAATTTATGCCACAAAATCATTTTCTTTTATACGCCACACACCCGCTCTCAGTACTCCCACACCCGACTCTGCCTGCCACATGCGAAAATAAAAATTAAACAAGACACGAGTCCCAGAGTTGATGGTCGAAGCACAGGATATCCTCTCCCATCTCAGGTAGCTCCCCAAGGACCAGTTATTGTATGTACCCCTCTTTGATAGGGTATACAAACGTGAGAAATATATAAAAAATATACCCAGAGTGTACAGAGGGAAGGTTGGCGATGCAAATTGCGTTGCATTGGCCCGGAGCCCTCCCGACGCAACACAGTTTTATGTCAAGTGAAAACAGAATGCGAACTATGACATGAAATATGAGCTCATCTCCTGCAAAACATCACAGAGTACAATAAAATACAACACAACACCCTCCCGCACCAACCAAAGTTTTATTAATTTCGCTTTGATGCAGAAATACGTAACAAATAAAAGTAAAATGGGGATTACTTATTAACCGACGGCATAGCAAAAACGAAATCGAAAACAGAAACACAACACACAAAAAAGCCCCACGTAAATAATGTATTATGTGACATACACGATGATAATGATGATGATGATGATGATGATGATGAGGTGCCCTGATAAGTCGCTGTCCCAATGCGAACATGACGGGCAGTACCCATACTGGCCATTACTGGACTGGAAAGTATTACGGAAAGTATTCGCACATCGCGCAAAGCTACGTTCGGTTGGGGTTCGTGTGCGAGTTCATCTCGGGTTCATCATATTGTTTACCTCGAAGTAGTTTCCCCGAATCGCTGCAAATGTTATGCAATCTGAGTCTAAGACGCAGTAGAATTCTCGGATCCGGGACTCAATTGCCACTGCCGTCGGGAATGCATACATACATACCCGTATTAGTGTACACTTTATATATAGATCATTCATAGTGCTCCTCGGCCAAGGCCACGACGAGTTTTCACTGGCATTGGCATTGGTGGAATTAGGGAATTGCGATGCGGCAATGACAATGAAAGCAAGCGGCGATGATGCAATGCACTCTGATAAATGTCACGAGTGTGTCTGCCCCATAAGAGGGAGATTGATCTAAGACTTGCCACAAATCACTCGCAGAAAGAACAGCCATAGCCCTACCTTAGAAGAGGGAGCATAAACTCTTTCAGGCAGCACCATTACACCAAGTAAATATATGTTTCCATGCAAATAGAAAAGCTTACGCCCAATCCCATGTAGCGTGTGTATCCAAATGTCTCAATGCCGCCTTGCATACGAATTCATTCAACTCAAGAACACTGGCCAAACCGTGCCGGACCGGACCGTGGCGCTGCTATAAATAACTCTATGGAATAGGCATCCAAACATTAGCAGTGAAATCATGCATAACTGAGCAAAACAATAATAAATATATCCACCCAAATGGACCTCGTGTCCGTGTCCATTCCAATGGAAGATATATCTCGATGCTCGATGTGCGGCGGCGCAAGGTCGTTTATTTTCGTTTATAATAACTTTTTGGACCTGTGCGAGCGACTAAATGGAAAACGAAAATAACATAAAATATATATTTATAATCGAAGCATTCACCACCAAAGATCTGAATTTCTTGTCAGCTCTGAACTTGACATTGAAACAGTCAGGCGGGGGGAAAACCCAGAGGAGTGATCTCTGCTCTCCCCAAGAGATAAGCGCGGCTTTGAGCTGTTCGATGTGAGGATCCGCAGATGGCATCATCTTTTGGGAATCGCTTATTTTTCGCTGTGCTGTTCTTCCTCTGCCCACACAACTGTACGAGCAGCACATTGTGGGGCACGTGACGGTGCAGCTCTGCCAGGCGATAAGGAGAAGCTGTCAGCTGAGCTCTGATCTCAGAGCAGTCCAGTCTGGAGTTCGGAGAACGAAAACAGACCCATACTTACATAATTCCCACATCTGGTGCGTGCCAGTCAGTGCGTGATTGAGTAGAGAATTGTTTTGAAAATATTTACAATGCATTTATTGGAAGCAGTCAAATATTTCACTCTGTTCGGGGTGATGTGGATCGTACAATGTAATTAATATATAGTTAAATAAATACATGTTATATGTAAGTGTGTGTGTGTGTGTTTGGTGTGTAGAAGTGTAGATGTGTGTGTGCATGTAAGAATATTTATAACTAAATCAAAACACAGCAAACTTGTCCATTAACGCAATCGGTACCAGGTCTCAGGAGCCTCTGATGGCATCGATCCATGCACATTCCCAGGTGTTCCGCACAGGGGGCTGGTCTGACCGGCACTGCAACGGGCAACGGGATGGTTTGAGGGCGGGTAGAGGGTGTTGTGTGGTGTGGTTTGTGGCACAGAATTTTGTGTGTGGGTTAGTGGCGAGGTATGGACACAGCAAGTAATACCAATTACGGATCGAATTTTTTTTTATTTTTTTTGTGGTAGAATCATGAGACGTTATTTGTTTGAATTTGGAGGATACTCGGGTTTGGGTCGAACTGATGGCAGGGCGTTTTTATGGGTGCGGGAGGGGAGTTAAGCAGGTGCATCACAGCGAGGCGTTTTCGGGCACTTTGTACTCACGTTCGTAGCAGCACTCCACGCCCTGGTGCACGCTGGTGGGGCACAGGCCCTTGTTGTTGGTCGGCTCCGTACAGTCGCTGGTCTTCACGCACAGTCCTCCGACCAGCACGCACTGGCGGTCATTCGGATACACCCGCACTCCCTGCAGCACTATAGGAGTACATATATTAGGAGTATTAGCTACGCTCTGGACTGGCCACTGGGTCTCCTCTCAAACACTTACTGTACACATCTTGATCGTTCACTTCGTTTGTCTCGATGTCCGCCCGGCCGGAGTGGAGCATCGTCACCATTACTACAGCCACCATCAGGCAGCCCAAGAAGCTCTTTCTTATCGACATGATCTATTCAGTTCTGTTCTTCGTTTCGTTTCTTTTCTGTTCTGTTCTGTTCTATTCTGTGGGTAACACGGTGTCGCGGATAATCTCTATGTACTACTTCCACTCGTTGGCACTGCTCGCGTCGACTAATCGAAGCTACTTACGCGGCAGAGTCTTTTCAATGAAAAGCACTTGCTCGCAGAGAGAGAAAGAGAGCAGCACACGCAGTGAGAGAGAAAGAGGGCGAGCGACTGCGAAGCTTTTTGCACAATCATCAAACGGCGATCAGCAGCAGCAGCAGCAGCAGAAGAGTGACAGCAATTCAGAGATCAGAGCTCAGTGCTTGAGAGACTACAACTGCTCCGTTTGGGTGGTCCATGAAGCAACTATAAAGGAGGACCCGTCGGCTTTTTAGAGGGAAACGTTACAATGCTGTCAATAAGTGCGAGTAAAAGGGCGTGCAGAGAGAGAGAGAGAGAGAAACTTTACAATAATAAGAGTACAAGCTGCTCATACTTGCTGCCGACGACGAGTCCTCCTTTATAGTTGCTTCATGGTTTGGGTGGTCGCTCTCCAGCTAACCAGATACGACTTAATGAATGGGACTCCAGATTCTTGCTTCCCGACTCCAGATCCCGCAAAGAAACGTTCAACTCGATCGGCAGCAGGCAGCAGGCAGCAGCAGCAGCAGCATCAGCAGGCTGCAATCAACGACAATCAGCGGGAACAACAAACATCTGATGAACCGCATCGAACGGGGCGTAACATGATTTTACTGCAATTTAATCTGGTTTGGCATACACCCTCTCCCCTGCCTCCTCTCCACTCTGCCATACCACCTCCGCCATGTGGGGCGTCAGTCAATTTGATTTGTTTGTATAACGATTTCGAAAACAATTTCGAATGCAAAATATGTAAACAAACCAACACGAAATGTGCGTCTGTGTCCCAGAAAATATTGGGCGTGAAACCAGATGTTACCTTCATGCGATCTAAACAATTGCCGAAAGACCAGCAGCACTCGATCGGGTATATCCATGAATGAATGAACTGCCACCCCGACCTTGGAATGGAATGGAAATGAAGGTGCACGACTAGAGGAAACTTAACGATTAAGCCATGCTGGGGGGGAGGAGTACAGAATGCACTTAACGTCATTGCTCCACGTATGCACGAGGAAGGCTAAAGGGGTTCACATTATCACAGAGGGAACGTCACCTTCAGTGACTAAACAAACCATTACCTTACCCTACCTTATCTTATAGATCAACAATCTGCTTACACATGCGTCTGATCGGGTTATTCGGAATTTATTTTATATCTACAGCAAGGGATCATCGCCTGCTGCTAAAGGTTCTCGAAAGTTCCAACTAATGTTTGCGCTTTTAAATCAACAGAAAATTCGCTCGAAACTGATAAGCTGCTTCGGCTGCGCAGCACGACGCTGATTCCCGCAGCTCAGATGATGGGATCGGCGAATAATGATGCTGCTCTACCATCATGCTCATTCGCCAGGAGCAGGACTCCACATGCCGGCTGTCTAAGGTATTTCGAAGATCTGCAAAACTGCAGTAGTCGGTCGGTTGTTCCTTGAGAGTATTGATTTTATCTGTAAAGCAGTGAACGAAATAAATTAACTTACCCCAATGGCTATCAGATGAGATTTATAGTTGTTCCATTCACTTAGCACTAAATGTATCGTTTTATCCAATAATTTAATACATTTTCACTAATTTTGACCAATTGAAAATGAACCTTTCTTGTTACATTTCTTTTAAGCATTGCTTTGTTTTCTACATGCTAACTACAACTGTTTCTACATTTTTCTAAAGCTTGAACGAGCTTTTCTAAAGCTTTTCTCACATATTTTCAACGATGTGGCAAGGCTGTGTCGTCTGTCAGATTAACGGAAAAGTACGAAAGGGAAAGAACTTGTATTTGCCAAATGTTTATTGTGTAAACCGGAATCTCCCCCAACAATTGCCACAAATTGACTGCAAGCCGAGTTCTTGGAATAGCCACATTTCCCAAAGGTTAGTCATTAGTTCTGAGTTACTTAATATTTTGTGGGTTTATTATATTTGATTGCTTAGTCATCTAGTTTCAGTTGAACTGGCATTTCTTATGGTAAATACATTTGCATATGTAGATATCTTTCGTTGTCAGTCTTCTGCAGGTTCTTAAATCTAATATTGTTCCTATCTTTATGTAGTTCATACCACAAACGTCTCCCGCTGCCCCACCCCACTCGTCTGGGTGGGAGTCACAGCAAATATCACAGAAGCGGAGCAGGGCTTGGCTCTCAGAGTTCACGCGGCAAACAGTCGCTCGGGGTCTCCGACCTATCTGTTAATTCCCCGATTTTTGCACCTCGTTGACTGTATAAATATTGCACGTGACTGGTGGGGATGTCGGCGCGGTAGTGCCTCCTCCTGGTTCGCTGGCCTTGTTGAAGGGTATCACAAAGACACTGGTCTTGGCTGCATGCTGCATCTTGATCACCGTATCGTAGCTGGGCGGTGCAAACTCGCTGTACGACGGTGAGGGCGTGGGCGGCGCTCTAACGCCTTCGCTCTGCGCTCCCGCACCCGAATGGTGGCGCCTCATGTCGCGACACCTGCGATCCGAGCAGGCCATCAGCATGAAGAAAGCCGCCAGGGCCAAAAAAGTGGCCACATACCACACGATCGTGATCACATCCATGGCCGTCTGTGACAATTCGTTTGTTGGCTCCACGACAGCTGCAAGAAGAAAGAGATGAGGCATTACAATCGAACAATATACAACTATGCACGAATTATGCCCAAAAGTTAACCAAGTATTTATCTCCACATTAGGTTATCAGACTGTCTGGGCAGTTATCGAATTGGGAATTTGCGCCCTAAACTTTATGACGACATGGAATCAAGTTAATGGCTGCCCTATCCGGGCTAACGTTGGCCCCCAGACGAGCAATGTAATTAGTAGCGATGATTATACACTCGAAGTGGTTTCCAGTGCGGCAATAAGATGCAATGTTGTGAAACTATAGGAGGCCTTCTCGAATGTGCCCGAGGAATGGACTGCTCGGAAGTACTTACTATTTTTGTAGACAATTATGCGAGTGCTGTTGGCAAATGGATCCACATCCGTGGTGCTGTTCGCTGTCGTCAGGTTGTTTGGCAGCTGTGGGGGCTGTGGGGACTGTGGGGACTCGTTGAGAACGTTCTCCAGGGTAATCAGATACGACTGTGCGTGCGCTGTGGGCGAGCAGGCGAAGATAACTGAAACAGAACCAAAGCGAATCGAAATGTTAGCAAAATGATTGTATGTGTCGGCAAATCGAGACGTGAGCTCACAGGTAGCGAGCGATCATAGATAAGATATCTGCGAGTATTCTATTCCCACATACGCCAGAGGTGCGTTTCCTTCGGGCAATCCTCCAATATCTTCTCTGTCATCCGCGACTGATAAGGGCGCTCCTCTGGTTTGGTCTAAATATAGACCATATACAGCGGGGCGTTACCCCGTAAATGGATCGTTCATTAAGCAGGCCCAATTTCCGGCTATGTTTACGGTCTTAGCCACTTGACGATAAGAACCCTGCGGCGAACCAGTGCCGACCCAGTGTCTGGGCTTGCTCTATCTGCTCTCTTATACTCTCAATCTCTAATCTGTAGTTCCAGCGCCTAGTGGGATAGGTGCTGCTTGCTTAGCCACTCCGGCAGTTTAGTTGCAAAATATTTTGATTCACAAACGCAGGAAAAACACAAACATCATAAACCTCAGGCCCAGTTAAGCCCCCCCAATACCCATTAAGAGTTGCTTTTCCTATCAATGACTTGACAACTGTTTACACACTTCGCCAGTCAAATGTTGGAGCGGCGCCATTGTGCAGCACACGGCACACCATCATTAGCAAGTCCCAATAAAATGATATCTTTCTCTCTCTCTCTCTTTCGTTCGATTGGGGGTTCTCCTATCAATTTCACAACAAATCTGATGAAACTTCGAGCATACAATAAAATATGTTGACCTAGGCTAAGAGATGCCAGCCCCGTGCATATGACTGTTCCCATATTATACCCTAAATATGCCTATTAAATATTCTCCACGAGAATTACGCAACTGATTGGTGGGTTGGCTACCGGATACATTGTTTACCCGTTGCCACGTGCTGATGCTGCTGCTGCTGTACCAGTCGGCACCTGAACCAGTGAAAGGTTTCCAAGCTATCATTTAATGAATACAGTTCCGAGGTTGGGGAAAATAATAATAGAATATGATGATAGTCGTCATACTTGTAAGCCACGAAGTTTTATCTGAAGATTTACCCAACTGTTTTTACTGGTACATTCCACTCAACCCTGATCCAGTTCCATACTCCAGCTAGTTCTTGATTAGTGCTTCACGCGTCATGGATCTATATAGTATACGGTAAATATATATGTATATTCGTGGGCACTGCAGATGCCCAACAGTATCGTTAGTTGATGGGTGGTGTCTTCTGGTGTGTGGGTTGCTGATAAGGCGGCAGCTAAACACACACACAGAGAACACAGCCACTTTCTAGTGTTTGTAGAAAAACAACATACAGAGTAGCAACAGCAAGAGCAAAGGCAAAAACCAATTACGAGTATTAGCAATTAAATTCTAATTAGCTGCTAATGGAAAACGTGCTGGCGTCAACGTCAGCTCTTCGATTCGCACTCTGGCACCTGTGCAAACTCCACAGGAGATGGCTGCGTATGAGTGCTTCGAAGGTTTCAGATCGGCGTTGATATCACACTTGATTCTTAGTCACATTTTTGGGTGTACAACAAACTCTTGGACATAAAGATACGGAACAGTTAGCTGACATTTTGTGAATTAACTTTAACCGGTTTCCATTATTGATTTGTGGGGAAATTGCAACTCAAATGTCACCCAAGAGGCGAAACTTTGACTTTGATTCGTATGAATGATATTTATGAAGTATTCACATGTCACTGACTCGTCGAGAGAGAGATCTTATCTGGCGGGATAAGCGTCTAACGGGCCCCGTAAAGACATCGTTAACTGGTTTATGGTGTCTGTATAGACATGCCACAATGACGCTGCCAGTTGCTCAAATAGTAATATAAGAAACTCTTATGTCTCCGAGCTAAGAGTAGATAGTTTTATGGTTTTCCTAAATATCAGTCAATTTCATCACAACTGCATGCAACCTCATCAATGATAAAGTTGCGTGATGTATTTTTGTAGAGATATTCGTATAATTACTTCCAATCAAAGGGAGAGAGGACACATGCCAGTTCATGATCGCATAATTAGCATGTGCTTGTCTGGGAGTTTGTTTTATTGTTTGCATATCGCACTGAAGGAAGGCCTGCCACAGCCAGAGGGCCTGATAGACACACCGTCTGAGACTCACCTATCATAATTAGCAGCATTGTCTGGGCATCTGCTCGTCGGTGATATTCCATGGCGACGTTGTTCAGATACTCGTATATCTATGTACATATGTTTGTACGTATATTTCTGAATGGATACTGTTTATTTTCGCTTCACACACTTGTTGAGTTTTATTTAATTCAATTGCGTTGAGTTGCTATCAATATATTTCCATAAATCAACCGTTCTGTTCACTTCACTGAGAATTCACCGGCTTGGAATGGGGGGGGACTGTAGAGTGAACGCGTACGCGGGCTCTTGGCTCTGGCACTCTCGCAGTGGGTTCGGTGTGCCCGTTGAATCGATCTTTCAGGTTCAAGTTTGTATCGCAGACTGAGCGAGCGCTTGCTTTGCCCACAACTTTTAGCTGGAACTGGAGCTGGAGCCGCTACTCTGGGTCCCGCATGAATCACGCGCTCTCGACGGCTTCGGTTAGTCTTCTCGCTCTCGGCTCGACGCGAAAGTCATTTCTACAGAGTTTGTGCCTTCTCACATAAGCAGAGCAGTTAGCGCATCGTATCTAATTGTGGGCCACCCACTTGGTTAAAGCTGTAAAAAAAAACAAAGTACCCTCTGCAAGGGTACAGCAAGTAATTGTCGAAACCGATAACTGGTGACAGGCTGGACCTGGCTCTGCTGGGAAATCGAAGGGCTTTTGTTACGCCTGCTCCCGCCTGTTGCTGTCTCTTCGATTTTTATATACATGTACAAATAACTGTTTTATTTTATGTATCCAACCCGATACCCCAGTCTTTGTAGTTGGTTATAAAAATAACTCTTAAGAGGCAGCTGCTCTGCGAAGTGGACCAAAATCTCCATACATTATTTTGCTGGGGTATTTCTGGGCGTGATCGTTTAACAGAGGCGCTAATTCCCAGATGAATTTCGCGATTTTGCAGCTCCGAAACATCAGAAAGAAGATCGCAGTTTCTAGGCTTAAGGGAGGTGCTTGACTCTGGTTGATGGATGGGCCATATCAGAGCTTAGATGGTCGGACGTTCGTTAAGGCCAAGTGCAGATTGTGTGCAAAACTTTGATTGGGAATCGCTTGTGTCCCTGAACTTGATAGATCGTCGTCTCCCATTGTGTGTGTGTGTGATAAAATTGGCATTAGAGCGTTATATACAGATAGGCAGGCTTTGTGGTAGCTACCAGCTACCGGTTGCCAGTTGCCTAGGGAGCTCCACAGTCGCTAATTGATTCGCTCACTTCGTCTCAGCCAAGGCGACAATTGGACAATTGCTGGCGGCATTGACATTGAACGAGGGCACAGATTGTCCATTAGATGGTGATTGTGTGATGTGGCCATAACCAGTTTCGCTTGGTCAATTGCCGGGAGTCAACGAACAAGTGACCCCAACACGTGCCACACATCCGATCCGATGGATGAGAAACTCCCTCGAAGTGAGGGAGCAACATTTCTATCTAGCGGCAGATTAGACCATCAAACTATGACGCAGTGGCTGCGGCAACAACTTACCTAAACCAATCGTGACAGACTCTCGATTTTGTGGATGTATCTGGGGTGGGGTGGGGTAGAGCGTCTGACTGGTTTTCGGATAAGGCACGTGCTGATTCACGATGTGTGTCACCATGTGCTGAAACCCCCATGGAGTGTGAGGTAGATCCCAGGCGTGCTTTCGCTTCGTTTTGGTTTGGTTTGGTTGAGATTTAGTTGGTTTATTTATCGGTAATACGTATTCGAGTGCTCGATTCTGTTGTGTATACATTGTATGAGTATTGGCCTAGCAATCTCTTCTGCTGTTGCTGCAGCATTAATTACTGTGTGTGTGCTGGGCGTGGCGCTTAAAGGGGAGATTCTGGTTAACAATTGACAATTGTGCCGCCAGCACAGGACACAGACACACATAACAAAGATCTCTACAAAAGCGCGTACACATATCCATATATATCTCATCTATGCAATACAGAAACAGGTACAACTATGTGGAATGCCGACGCTACCATCCCATCCCACATTTGTACGTACATGTAGGATGACACCTGACGATGGCTGGCGTTTACAATATTTATGCTAACTAGTGCAGAGACGAATACATTTTGGGTTTTTGCTTAATAATAATTGTTTGCTTAGGTAAATAATTGATACAATTTCATTTAACATCATAATTTCTGTGAGATTTCATCAGTGAGTACCGTGAGGTTGCTAAGAAATTGAGACATTGATCGACATTGGCTTCAACAGTTTCACAATCCAAACATAAACATAAAATTTAAATATTTACAGTAGTAAAAGTGGAGTATTCTTGGGGCAGTATTCGAGAGACATTCTTTCCCGCCCACGCTAATCAGAAAACTTAAAATCAGTCCTAGCATATTTACATGGAATGCACATTTGTTCATGAGGAGAGACAATTTACCTAATAGGACTTTTACGAGTACAACAAGTGTGCGATGCCAAAGTACTCGCTGATCTGGCACAAAGCGGAGCAGTCGTAGGGACGTGACACGAGGCTTTATCTGTCGGGGAACAAGGACTCGTAGCTAGGTGGCATATCCTTGGGCGTCATTGGCGGCTGCTGCTGTGCATCCTGCTCGCGAGATTCAACATTAGCGCACTCCGGAGCTGTTGGCTCCGGTCGGAGCTCAATGGTCGGCACATCAGACTGTCAAAGAGAGAACGATTTAGCTGCGTGTCCATGTTAGGCTCAGAACAGACTCTACTCACCCGAATGCGATGCTGGTTGAAGCGAGCGGCGGATGCCTCGTGTGCTCGTTGCTGCACCGTGATGCAGTTCCAGTACTTCCAGCAGATCCACACGCAAAAGCCCACGCCGAGCATGGTGAAAATGAGCGACGTTATGGCCGAGATGGCCACATTGGCTGTGTCTATCTCCTCCGGCACGATGGCGTCGTGGAAGCACGTTCCTTCATCCCTACACGGATACAAGCAGTTGGTGACGTTGTCCCGCACAAAATGCCGCGATATGCACGAGTATTGGTCGTTGGGATCGCACAGAAAGTCACCGTTGAACTGGCACTCGGAGTGGGCTGTCAGCACCATGCTCAGCTCCAGCTGATCGCCCAGAATGTGGCGCGATCTGTCGATGTAGATGTGAACGTTCACTTCCCGATCCCGCTCATCGAAGATCAGTCGCCCGGCCGGGCCATTGATGACGATGTTATGACAAATGCGTTCACTGGGCGACCGATTGCCGCCGGTAAACTGTATGTAGTCGATGCACTTTTTCGAGACAGGATCCCGCCGGAACTTGAGCCTGGTGATGAGTGTGTAAATGCCGCGCGGTGTACGGTCGCTGGTCACCACGCGGAACTGGCAGTCGTACTTGATCTTGTTGGCCGAGTGGCCATTGGGCAGTGTGAGATTCCAGGTCTGCGTCATAATCGCCGCTGAATCCTCCTCGAAGTCGAGCCTCACCGTGGGGTCACCGCGAAAGGGTTTGGCGAGTGTGAAAATTAGGTTGTTCGAGCACAGGTTGTCCTGGATGCGCACTGGAAGGGATCGCAACGACTTAGTCATGCAGCTACTGCGCCATTGAGCTATGACTAACTTACCGTTTTTGTAGCACAGGCCAGGGGCTGCGATTAATATCACCAGAACCAGCACATGGGCCAGCGGCGGTTGCCAAAGCGTCGCAATACTGCCCTTGTCCAACATTTTGGCACGTCCTGCGTGCTGGGTGTGTGTTTTGTGTTTTCCTTCTTTGCCTAGCTAGAGGCTATAACCAAGCGACCTTGTTTTTTTTTTTTTTTTTTTTTTTTTTTTTTTGAGGATTTATGTTACCGCTCTACCCTTGGGTAGNATGGGATATATCGAAAAACTATACTAAATATACCGATGACAAAACGATTCTTTTTCTTTCCAGAAAATTATGCATCTCTGTGTAGTTGCAGTGTATCTTACAGAAACAAATATGTAAAATATTCAATTAAATGTCAGTTTTCAAATACTAAATAATAGTTTTTGGTTTATTTAAATTTCGTAAAATTACTCTGTATTAAAAGCACTTGTACTCTTTTATTTTCGCTTAGCTTAATCAATAATTATATATTCTGTGAAGCAATCGGCTAAGGTGCATCGATTACTGACTGCTACATCACCCGATTAACCTTTATGTTTACCAATCGATTTGGGGGTTACGTCTTTTCCATTCATTTATTTTAATTCTTCTTAAAATTCGGGCGATGCGAGGCGTTTCAAACAGACCAGATCGTGCTTTATAGTTAGTCATTGGCTGTGTCTATCTCCTCCGGCACGATGGCGTCGTGGAAGCACGTTCCTTCATCCCTACACGGATACAAGCAGTTGGTGACGTTGTCCCGCACAAAATGCCGCGATATGCACGAGTATTGGTCGTTGGGATCGCACAGAAAGTCACCGTTGAACTGGCACTCGGAGTGGGCTGTCAGCACCATGCTCAGCTCCAGCTGATCGCCCAGAATGTGGCGCGATCTGTCGATGTAGATGTGAACGTTCACTTCCCGATCCCGCTCATCGAAGATCAGTCGCCCGGCCGGGCCATTGATGACGATGTTATGACAAATGCGTTCACTGGGCGACCGATTGCCGCCGGTAAACTGTATGTAGTCGATGCACTTTTTCGAGACAGGATCCCGCCGGAACTTGAGCCTGGTGATGAGTGTGTAAATGCCGCGCGGTGTACGGTCGCTGGTCACCACGCGGAACTGGCAGTCGTACTTGATCTTGTTGGCCGAGTGGCCATTGGGCAGTGTGAGATTCCAGGTCTGCGTCATAATCGCCGCTGAATCCTCCTCGAAGTCGAGCCTCACCGTGGGGTCACCGCGAAAGGGTTTGGCGAGTGTGAAAATTAGGTTGTTCGAGCACAGGTTGTCCTGGATGCGCACTGGAAGGGATCGCAACGACTTAGTCATGCAGCTACTGCGCCATTGAGCTATGACTAACTTACCGTTTTTGTAGCACAGGCCAGGGGCTGCGATTAATATCACCAGAACCAGCACATGGGCCAGCGGCGGTTGCCAAAGCGTCGCAATACTGCCCTTGTCCAACATTTTGGCACGTCCTGCGTGCTGGGTGTGTGTTTTGTGTTTTCCTTCTTTGCCTAGCTAGAGGCTATAACCAAGCGACCTTGTTTTTATTATTATTTTGGTCGCACGACGATACGACATTGTTTTTTTTTTGCTGGTTGCAAAAGCAGCGACGCCAGCAGCGCTGTCTTTCGCGACTGCGTTGATATTCGACGATTTTAATGTTCGTCTTAGGATTACTTTCGAGAGATAGGAATCAGCACTGATTTTTTAATTTTCCACCATAAACTAATACATTTCTGAAGAGATTTGCTAAGTATAAGTACTCATTTTCATTAGATTATTTAATAAATACGATTTTAATCAAAAACGTTTAATATTTATAACACAAAATTAAATTGTTTACATGATAACTACACGCCAACTACATACACACTTGCTACTACACTTTTATGTAATTATCGCAAGCGACAGCTGACGAGGAGATGCTGACAAGTTTAGCCGCAATTTTTTCATACAACGCCAGTGGAAGCGGCAGTGTGAAAAACATACGTTTTACATTTTCCCTATTGATATTTTGATGTGAAACGATCAGGAATTCGAAGATGATTACGAATTCGATGTGTCCCAGAATTTGGCTCTATATAACATTTTTACCTGTTTCTACACTCATGGAAGAGTATCGATAGGATGGGATATATCGAAAAACTATACTAAATATACCGATGACAAAACGATTCTTTTTCTTTCCAGAAAATTATGCATCTCTGTGTAGTTGCAGTGTAGCTTACAGAAACAAATATGTAAAATATTCAATTAAATGTCAGTTTTCAAATACTAAATAATAGTTTTTGGTTTATTTAAATTTCGTAAAATTACTCTGTATTAAAAGCACTTGTACTCTTTTATTTTCGCTTAGCTTAATCAATAATTATATATTCTGTGAAGCAATCGGCTAAGGTGCATCGATTACTGACTGCTACATCACCCGATTAACCTTTATGTTTACCAATCGATTTGGGGGTTACGTCTTTTCCATTCATTTATTTTAATTCTTCTTAAAATTCGGGCGATGCGAGGCGTTTCAAACAGACCAGATCGTGCTTTATAGTTAGTCATTGGCTGTGTCTATCTCCTCCGGCACGATGGCGTCGTGGAAGCACGTTCCTTCATCCCTACACGGATACAAGCAGTTGGTGACGTTGTCCCGCACAAAATGCCGCGATATGCACGAGTATTGGTCGTTGGGATCGCACAGAAAGTCACCGTTGAACTGGCACTCGGAGTGGGCTGTCAGCACCATGCTCAGCTCCAGCTGATCGCCCAGAATGTGGCGCGATCTGTCGATGTAGATGTGAACGTTCACTTCCCGATCCCGCTCATCGAAGATCAGTCGCCCGGCCGGGCCATTGATGGCGATGTTATGACAAATGCGTTCACTGGGCGACCGATTGCCGCCGGTAAACTGTATGTAGTCGATGCACTTTTTCGAGACAGGATCCCGCCGGAACTTGAGCCTGGTGATGAGTGTGTAAATGCCGCGCGGTGTACGGTCGCTGGTCACCACGCGGAACTGGCAGTCGTACTTGATCTTGTTGGCCGAGTGGCCATTGGGCAGTGTGAGATTCCAGGTCTGCGTCATAATCGCCGCTGAATCCTCCTCGAAGTCGAGCCTCACCGTGGGGTCACCGCGAAAGGGTTTGGCGAGTGTGAAAATTAGGTTGTTCGAGCACAGGTTGTCCTGGATGCGCACTGGAAGGGATCGCAACGACTTAGTCATGCAGCTACTGCGCCATTGAGCTATGACTAACTTACCGTTTTTGTAGCACAGGCCAGGGGCTGCGATTAATATCACCAGAACCAGCACATGGGCCAGCGGCGGTTGCCAAAGCGTCGCAATACTGCCCTTGCCCAACATTTTGGCACGTCCTGCGTGCTGGGTGTGTGTTTTGTGNTGTCCCAGAATTTGGCTCTATATAACATTTTTACCTGTTTCTACACTCATGGAAGAGTATCGATAGGATGGGATATATCGAAAAACTATACTAAATATACCGATGACAAAACGATTCTTTTTCTTTCCAGAAAATTATGCATCTCTGTGTAGTTGCAGTGTAGCTTACAGAAACAAATATGTAAAATATTCAATTAAATGTCAGTTTTCAAATACTAAATAATAGTTTTTGGTTTATTTAAATTTCGTAAAATTACTCTGTATTAAAAGCACTTGTACTCTTTTATTTTCGCTTAGCTTAATCAATAATTATATATTCTGTGAAGCAATCGGCTAAGGTGCATCGATTACTGACTGCTACATCACCCGATTAACCTTTATGTTTACCAATCGATTTGGGGGTTACGTCTTTTCCATTCATTTATTTTAATTCTTCTTAAAATTCGGGCGATGCGAGGCGTTTCAAACAGACCAGATCGTGCTTTATAGTTAGTCGCCCCGTGAAATTATGAAACACCCGGAAACGTCGCCAGGCTCTGAAGCATCGTGATATGTGTAACAGGCAGTCGTGCCGAAAAAGTTCCATGCGTCGCAATCATTTTCTAGTCAACAGCGAGTTTTGTGAGTTAAACTTGTGATCCTATTATGGCTACATCAGACTTCGTGCTGGGAGGCCTGGCCTCGGTGGGTGCCACGTTCTTCACCAACCCCATCGAAGTAGTCAAGACGCGCATCCAGCTGCAGGGAGAGCTGGCGGCACGAGGCTCCTATGTGGAGCCCTACAAAGGAATTGTGCAGGCGTTCGTGACGGTTGCGAAGAACGATGGCATGAGCGGCTTGCAGAAGGGCTTGGCTCCGGCCCTCTTCTTCCAGTTCATCATTAATTCTTTCCGGTGAGACTGAAATCTATTGCCTGCCGGCTGAAGCTTATTTCACAATTGCCATCTGCTGCCCCATCAGGTTAAGCATTTACTCTTCGGCGGTGGAGAAGCGCTGGATGCACAACAAGAATGGAGAGGTCTCCTACGGCCTCGGCCTGATGTGGGGTGCCATCGGAGGAGTGGTGGGCTCCTACTGCTCCAGTCCGTTCTTCCTGGTGAGAACTTCCCAGACTGTTACATAAATCCCGATATATGAACAGCTTATTAGCATTGCCAGACCTCATGCCCAAATAAGAGATAGCGCAACTGATAGCGATTATCTTCCTTTACAGGTCAAGACTCAGCAACAGTCGCAGGCTGCCAAACAAATAGCCGTCGGCTATCAGCATACGCACACCTCCATGACGGATGCCCTCAGGCAGATCTACATCAAGAACGGAATCCCTGGCTTGTGGCGTGGATCTGTGGCCGCCCTGCCGAGAGCTGCCTTGGGTTCCGGGGCCCAGATAGCTACCTTCGGCAAGACCAAAGCATTGCTCATCGAGCACGACCTTGTCACCCAGCCCACGTTGAACTCGTTTTGCGCGGGACTAATAGCCGGCTCCATCATGTCGGTAGCCATTACACCGCCGGACGTGATCACCACACGCCTGTACAACCAGGGGGTGGATGCCGAGGGTCGCGGACTGCTCTACAAGGGTTGGCTGGACTGCTTCGTGAAGATCCTGCGATCCGAGGGCGTTTACGGTATGTACAAGGGCTTCTGGGCCAACTATCTGCGGATCGCCCCGCACTCCACTCTCGTCCTGCTCTTCTTTGACGAACTGATCGCCACGCGCGAGAAGTACGGCCTGCACTACTGACCCAAACCCAAGAGTGCTGTGGGCTGATTGTCTACTTTAAGTACAAATTTGTTCACTTGTTTGAGATCTTTTGTTTGCCTTAGTTCCAGTTCCCAGACCCAATCTCCTATGCTTAGCGTAGCCCAAAGAACTATAAATGTGCCTTCAGTAAGCTAAACCTGTACCTTTAGTTATAAATTGTGCAATACTTTGGTTAATAAACCGTTTAATTTGTTATTTTCGAATTATTTCTATAATTTACTGCCTCTGCCCTGTTCCCTATAGCAGGCTCCTTTTGTCTGTCTCTGCAGCTACCACGATAACGATATCCCGGGCCATCGAGATGGTTCTCTTATCGAAAAAAAGCGTTACTCTCCAAACAGTATTCCCCCCTGCGGGAAAGAGTACAGCCGCGGTTAATCTAACGGTTAAGGATGGCCACGTCGGACTTCGTGCTGGGCGGAGTGGCCGCCATGGGTGCTGGAATAGTCACCAATCCCGTGGAGGTGATCAAAACTCGCATGCAGCTGCAGGGAGAGCTGGCGGCACGCGGCTCTCACGCTCAGCCCTACAAGAATGTCCTACAGGCGTTTGTCACGGTGGCCAAGAATGACGGAATACTCGGCTTACAGAAGGGACTGGCACCAGCACTGTGCTTTCAGTTCATCATAAATTCCATCAGGTAAGTAGACTCCATAAGGAGGTGTCAAATTCCCCACTAAATACTCTGCTCCATCCGCAGATTGAGCACCTACACTCATGCCGTGGAGAAGGGCTGGGTGCATAACAAGAATGGCGACATCTCGTTTGCACGGGGCATGTTCTGGGGCGCATTGGGCGGCGTTGTGGGCTCCTACTGTGCCAGCCCCTTCTTCCTGGTAAGCAATTATTTAAATCAAATCGTTTGGGGACAGACATCGGAGGTGTCTGCCTTGGCAGACGATCAGCGCGATAAGATTAGCTGCTGATAAGAACTTTCCCATGCCATTTCAGATCAAAACACAACTTCAGTCGCAGGCGGCCAAGCAAATTGCCGTCGGTTATCAGCATCCGCACACTTCAATGAGTGATGCGATAAGACAGATATACAGGAAGAGCGGCTTTTTTGGCCTGTGGCGGGGCTCCATGGCATCCGTGAGCAGGGCCACAGTCGCCTCCAGTGTCCAGATCGCTACTTTTGGCAAGGCCAAGTGCGTGCTGAAGGACAACGGCCTTGTCACGCAGCCGACGTGCCTCTCGTTCTTCTCCGGCCTGGCTGCTGGATCCTTTGTATCGGTGGCGGTCACACCGTTTGACGTCATTACCACGCGCCTCTACAACCAGGGTGTGGATGCCCAGGGTCGAGGTCTCTACTACAAGGGCTGGCTGGACTGTGTTGCCAAGATACTGCGATCGGAAGGTTTTTACGGTGTATACAAGGGATTCTGGCCAATTTATCTGCGAATGGCACCTTACTCTACTTTAGTGCTACTGTTTTTCGAAGAACTTATTGCTCTCCGCGAGAGTTACGCTCCCCATAAATGATACAACAGTATGTTCCATTGTGACCTTGCAAAGAATTTTTGAATTGAAAGTGATAAAGTAAAAGTGCTATATCGCACAAAACTATCGATATTTTTCTTATTTGCTTTCTCTGATAGAGAATTTCCCTGACCGTTCAGGCACAAGAGAAAATGTTCCTTACCCTTTAGGCACAGGATCAAATACAAATTTGTGAAATATAAGGTCAGAAGGTATGCAATCCAATAAAATCAAGTATTTAGAATAAGTCAAATGGATTCTTCAATCGGGTTAAATTATTGTTTCAGTGTTAAAAGTCTTTGCAAGCTATTAATATCAAATAGAATATCAACATCGAGGAAAATAATTTCAGATACATTATATTTTAAAAATTATATGGTATATTTTGGTATATTTTTGAGGGTCTGACGGTATATTTTATCGATAACTCCGCGGTCACATTGCAAGTCGTATTATCTACATAAAACATACATCGATATACTGATATAACAAATAATATTCACATCTCTATTAAACAAGTCGGCGGCACTTAAATTAGCTAAAACTTTCTTAGAAAATCCTTGTGAAAAATGGCCGTTCAATATACCCAAGTCCAACAATGGTTCGAACAGTACAAGCAGACGGTGGCCAAATCCCTGCGCGACACCTCCAAGCCATGGAACAAGGTGCTGAGCATCGTGGAAGAGCGGACTGGCGTTGACCGCGTGAATGTTTTCTTCGGTGAGTAGGAGACACATCCTGGACGACGTCATCGCCCCCAGCTACGCACGGTGGACGCCCAAGCACGTAACGGTGGTGCCAGTCCAAAAGATGCAAGAGAATTGTCTGACAGAAGTGTATAAATAGCAACCCAACCTGTTATATATAGCATAGATGGTCAACGAGGGGCTGTGACATGGCATTTGGCGCATAACAGGGGCAGGAGAAATGTGTCTAATTTGGGGATTAATCACTATCGTTAGCTTAGCAACGCAGCTGCACCGTTTAAGCGTAATTAAAAGGTCTATCTCTGGGGGTCGGGTCGGGCACGCACACCAGGGCCTGCATGCATATGTGTGTGCATGTGATGTGTTAGCTTACGTATGCAGTGCATGTGCATGTGTGTGTGTGTGTGTGTTTGGTAGCTTCCATGAACACTTTTCTGTGGTTTGTGCTTTTCTTTGTTTACTCTATCGCGAGTATGTTTTATCCGTTCGCTGAGCAATCACTGATTACACGTGGAGAGAACTGTACCGATCAGATACAGATATCCAGATTCCCGTCAGTGCAAAAGGTCAGACTTGACCTCGACTTCGATCCGGTGCTGCCCTCCTCTGCCGTCGTGGCGCTTTGCACACGTGTAGAAAATCGCTGGCTGGCAGGTGGGCGCGTGCCTCTGTGTGCGTGAGAGCTTCCCGCAGCGAAGCTCGCGAAAGCCCCAGATGTGGCTCTGGGATTATATTATGAAAATAAAACACCGCCAAAAGGTGCGACGAAATGTCCGGCTTCCTCTTATCTACATTGGCTCAGGTGAGTCCCGTTCCTCCTGCTGCCACACATCACCGAACACCTTTGAACTGAACAATAAGACGCGCATAAATATAATTAGCGGAATACTCATCGGCGTTCGGGCATATGACATCATTATGCGGTAGCTAGAGCGATCCGCGGCGAGTCCGTTGTGCTATTCTGTGCTGGCAAGGCGAGACTGGCCGGGATCGGGCCACTCTCGGGCATCAGGTGCAGATATCTGCCGATGACACTTGTGACAACAGCTGAATAGTTATAATTAGCTACTCGCGACGCTCTGGGGCGGAGTGAGGGACACCAAATCAGGGAGGAGCAAATCAAGCAAACCCGTGCCCGGCCCTGTGCTTTGTTGTGCCACAGCCAAAGGGCCAAGTTGCAACAATGGGCACAACCCAGTGACCATCGAGACGGTGATCATGGCAGTTGAGAGCTGGGAGAGTAAAGTGATCGAGCTGTTCAAAGAGAATGTCTTGCTACGCTTTGGTACAGCCCCCCCATGGAGCCCTTTCTGTCACCTTTTTCGTTAAATTTTCTAACTGGTATTCCCATGGACTCTTTCAGGTTCTGCCGCCTTGTGTGCCGTCTATCTGATGTTCGGCGGTTTGGCACAGCTGTTGTGCAATATTATTGGAGTGATGTATCCGGCCTACATCTCGATCCATGCGATCGAGTCGAGCACCAAGCAGGATGACACCAAATGGCTGACCTACTGGGTGACCTTCGGCATCTTCACGGTGATCGAGTTCTACTCGGGCATCCTGACCCACATCATACCCTTCTACTGGCTGCTAAAGGTAACCATAGCCCGCCGCCTTGAATGGCATTAAGATGTAACTAATTTCTCGTATGTTTCAGTGTGTTTTCCTCATCTGGTGCATGCTGCCCACGGAGCAGAACGGCTCCACCATTATCTACCACAAGCTGGTGCGACCCTACTTCCTGAAGCATCATCAATGTGAGTACAAAATCCACTTGCTCCATGAACAAATCGCTAATGTATGTCTTTCGTTTCCATTGCAGCCGTCGACAAGCTGATTGACGATGGCATGAAGAAGGCCACCAATGTGCTGAAGCATGATTAAGAGCTCTGGTCTGCCGGCCGGCCACTTCTCCATGCATTTGGTACTCTCCAGCCACCACGCAGGCTTCTCTTAGACAGCACGCAATTAGGGTTTGGTCACGTCGTATTGGTTACGTTTTTCAATAAATTTTAAATTTCTATCCGTTGTTGAAACCTCCATTTGTGTCTGCCGCAAACAAATGTCGCTTGTTATACATAAATTGAAAACAGGATTTTTATTATTGATCTAAAAGAGCTCATGCGGATGCGGATGCGGACGCAGACTCCGACTGGTCCGCTGCAGCTGCCACCACCTGTTCTTCGGCCAGCTTTCGACGGTTCCGCCAGGCAGTCATGTAGGTGCGTGGGTGGATGGGCAGCAGACCGGCGACGCCCAGCAGCTCTGCAGCCGGGTCGGAGATGTGAGCCCCCTTGCCGAGCCAGAAACGGATGCGCTCCGTGTTTAGGGCCACCAGGCGCTCGTTGAAGTCGTTGGGCAGGGGATCGTAGGAGCCGACCTGCTCGATCACAGGCTGGTGCTGGTTCTTGCGACGCTGTGGGCATAATTGTTCCTGCTATAAGCAACTGTTACAACATCCCTGGGAAAACATCCATACCTCCATGACGACAATGTGGTAGAACGGCCGGTTTGTGCAGCCCAGGCGCACGAAGCGTATAATCTTTGCCGAGTGCTTGTAGAAGCGGCCGATGCCACTAGCCGGCGACAGGGACATCCTCAAATATTAGTGTTTAATTCAAATTTTTAACAAATGCAGGTGGAAAATGTGTTATGTTATGTTATCAGTGTGACCGCGGAATTATCGATATTCCCTCTGACCGTCAGTAAAATACCAAAATATACCGGATTTAATTATCTCGCTCGCTCTGCGAGGTATTGCCATAAGGTTTCTATGTCTGGTCTCACCAACAAGATGGCGTCAAAGAACGAGAAGCACGAACACTAAGAAGGAATGTATAGTGGTGTGTCGTGTCTGTGAAATAATATTGGAGAAAAAAACAGTGTATTTTGTTTATAAATTTAATTGCAAAAACTGCACATCAGCACACGGCGCGTCCACACACCAACACACACATTGAAGTGCGGTGCGCCTTATCAATGAACCGAGTCGCAGCCTGAGCCCCAGCGC